CGTATCAATGTGGAATTCAAAGTATTATGGCACTGAAAGCAACATCGCAACAGCAACCACAAAAGAGGATGGTAAATAGTAGATAAATATGTCGAAAAAAATTATTTTGTATTAATAGTGCACGTTGACAAAAGATTAAAATGAAAGGTTCCATTAACTATGTGCAGGATTGCATAGATTTGAATTTACTTTTAGTCTCTGACACATAATTTTTAAGACTTCAAAACTCACACCTTTTTCTGACGCAAAAAAGCAATGAGACTGCGGGCTAAATTCAAATCTCTGTTGTTCAGGGCACGTAAGCTAAATATAATTCTTGAAAAACACATCTTTTTGATTACTCATGGAACCCGTTAGTGGTTGAATGATGCACAACCTCTATATCTAATGTTATAAGAAATTTTTGATATATAACTTGCGCTATCATGGCTGCATGACGACCGTGTTTGCATCAGAGTAAAGAGACACGGCGGCTTGATGAAAAAATTTGTTTTTCCCTCGAAAATCGCAGAAATATAAGAACTATAAAATGGCCGCTTGTGTCTCTCTTCGCTGATATMAAMAMGGTGRGAGTTGAAAAGCACTCGAGATGCAAGAGAAACACTCGTTGTGCTCGTGTTTCTAAGATTGCTTCTCTTGTGTTTTTCAACTCCCACCGTGTTTATATCAGAGGACGGGACACGCGCCGTCTTCTCAATCAGTATCAATATAGTTGTATATCAATATAATGGTATATTATATTGATATCTACAGTACCAGAAGGAAAACCATCAGATGTATCTGCAACACCAAAGTCATCAAAAAGCATTGAAGTAACATGGGAGGTATATTTCTTAGTAAAAGTAAAAGTCAATCGTATGACTTCCATATATGGACGTCCCTTTGAATGGCTCGCATGTACATATAGAAATCTTTCAAATCCCTATAAAAGGTTCTTTAATTAAATATCCAATCTTACGTATATACACGTAGTTATCTTTTCAGACATGAAAAAATCATTTTCATTCAAGCGAATTTATCTCATTCTTTAATAGTTAGATTAAGTGAAATTATGTCACGCTTATTCAATGCATATGGAATTTTCGAATCTTCATGGCCGCCTTTTCTTTAGTTTTTTATTACTTTCTTAGTCCTTCTACACATAGTGTGTCTATATAAGAGCCTTCTATGTGTACATAATAAACGACGTGTACATCTCACCTCTATATAAAAGTCGTATGACAGATCCTTCCTTAGCATTGTACATCTGCGGATTATTGATCTTCAATCCGCCCCGAAAGGCATGACCACTTCTGACACTTTCGCCTTTGTTATTTCGCCGTACTCTTTATATTCCTAATACGAGTAAGGTGCCTTCCAATTTTACAAAGAGTTTCATATTGCACTCCTTTACAGTCCGTAATATACGCTGACACAAGATAGCGATACTAAAGAACATCATCATTTCACAATAAGTGAAGGAATGTGTAAAAGGAGAAAAGTACTGGCTCCAATTTGGTTACCTTGATACCTTATTTAGGCTTTATGATTGTTAAACTTGTCGAATAAGTCATCGTTCTTATACTTTAAGTATAACTGTCCACGTATTTGATTGACAATATTTATCATGTTAAACATTTGCCCAATTTTACCTCAATATTTTCTAGTTGATACGTTGGGCAAAATTCAACGGACCTCCCACTGGCTTTAGAATTACATACACTGATGCACGAAGATTCAAAACCACAAAAATTGTTGGAAACGTCAAAAAAACCTTACTAACCAACTTGAAAAAGTGGACGGAGTACAGCATAAGCGTATCAATGTGGAATTCAAGATATCATGGGACTGAAAGCGACATCGCGACAGCAACCACACAAGAGGATGGTAAATAGTAGACAAATAAGTAGAAAAAAATTATTTTGTATTGATAATGCACGTTGACAAAAGATTCGTGTAAAAGGTCGCATTAACTATATGGTGGATAGCAGAGATTTGTATTTACCTTTAGTGTCTGATACTTTATCTTAAAGCCTTCTAACATCAAAACCCACACCTTTTTGTGCAGCAAATATGCAATAAGACTACGGGCTAAATTTAAATCTCTCTTGTCATGCATTGCACGTATAAAGCTAAATATAATTCTTGAAAAACACATCTTTTCGATCGCTAATGGAACCGTCAGTTGTTGAATGATGCAAAACTTCTACATCTAATGTTAAAGCTCAAACAATATGAATATAGTTGTTAATGGTATATAATATTGATATCTACAGAACCAGAAGGAAAACCGTCAGATGTATCTGCAACACCAAAGTCATCAAGAAGCATTGAAGTAACATGGAAGGTATATTTCTTAGTAGAGGTCGGACGCATTACTACCATATATCAATATTCCTATGAATGGCTCGCATGTACATATAGACGTCTA